TTTAAACCCCCCCCCCCCCCCCAGGCGGGGAGGGAGGAGTGGTTGGTTGGTAAAATGTTCAGGCATTGCTCAAAAGCTTAATGAAATTCATTTACAAGGGAGATGAGAAATTCAAATCATAGAGTAGCCGACATGAGAAGGTGCAACCTGCATATCTTCATCGCTGAGGTCAGTAAAACGCTTCTCAGACATCAACGGAAGACAAAAAGGAGCTTATCTTTTCCTTTATAAATTTTTATTGATGATGCTCAGTCTAACAGGTAATTAGTGAATGACATGAATACAGATTTTCTCTCCCCTTCCAGTCAATAATAGACTGAGTTGCTCCGACATGGCAGTTTAGGTGCCGCACCCGTGTCTACACGACACCAGTATGGGTGTGGGTATGGGATCCGTACCGGATCTGGTCAAACAATTTTGAGTACTTTGACCACGAGAGACGGAAAAATTCAAGACGAGATACAATTTGATTCCCGAAATCAAAACCAAAACTAGGGTAAATTTGAAGAAAATAGCATACCTTATCTATTAAATCATTCATTTACTCATCTACAACTTGAGAATAAAAAGAAATCCATTTTACAAGCTATACGTAAGTATTCCACAGAATTTCTCATAATTTAGAGATACTTTTTTATTTTTGGATTATTTTTAGTAGGATCCTCGCATCCATATCCGTACTAGGATCCGTATCCCCAAATCTTAGAATTACATCTCGAAGGATCCGACCTCTAGATCCGCACTCGTGTCAGACGCCCGCACCCGTGTTCGAGCAACTTAGATAATAGATTGGGCTGCTTTCCTCTAGAGATGAAGAAAAATGATAAGGAGAACTCATCTTAGTACGACAACAACAACATACCCAATATCCCACACCGTGGGGTCTAGGAAAGGTAGTGTGTACACAGAGGATAGAGAGGTTGTTTCCAATAGACAAAACTAATCTTAGTAAAAGAATGAAAACTAAAAGTAATGCAAACCCAGCCAGGAGACTACTGGAAGCATAAAGATAAGTGAGTTTAATCCTAGGAAAAGCTTTAGCCACAGGAACATCCAAGTATTCAACTCAGCCCCCACTTTTCTCTTTCTTATCTTTAAGAAAATTGGTAATCTTAAAGAAACCACCAACGGAAACATGAAGGGATATTGTAGGCTCCCCAAAAAATAAGTACCACACTCGAAACAGGCATGTTATCAAGGATGAAATAACCAGTCAAACCCTTGGATGATCAAGAACAGGATAAGTCTAACAGAAGAGCAGGGAAATGTTTAAAATCATTTGTCTCCCTTTGGCAACAAAAAAAATTATTTGTCACTGGTGTACAGATTTGCAATATAAATGAATCTATCATACATATGCCAAGGCATAAAGGAATCCCCTGACAATCACAAATGAATTTGGTCATGTTGGAATAACTCCTCTACTTGTTGGGACTGAGGCGTAGTTGTTGTATCTCCTCCTCCCAAACAGTAAACCTCCCAACCAGCATAATCGTGACTACTCCTTTTGCCCCACAAAAAAGGTTTTAGCTTATGGACACGAGTGTAGTCCTTTTTGGGGTTCTCTTGCTCTAAAGCATGTCATCTCCAGGACGACAATTGAAGTAAATGTCAAACTAGAGAATATAAATTCACAGGTGAAATTCAGATCTCCACCTAATAAATTTGTGGAGATAAAAGGCAACTGAAATCGCTCAGAGCAACCACATTGTCACAACATCCCTTCCTGACCATAAACATTGAGAATAAATCGAAGGATTTAAAGAACAGTGGGTGCACCTCTTGTTGTGAGTAAGGGCAATGTGTTATGGAGTTAATAACCTGGATGGAGGTGAATAAATTAATCGCCTTCACATAATCTCCACCATAGTTCACATAAATAGACTGTGCTTAATATCAACCAACTTATCACGCATCTGAATTTTTAGGACCACAAAAAAAGATGATCAAAACTAAAAGAGTGGGCTAAAGTAAAATGAGAAATGTTTAAGACAACCAACACCACAAATAATATAATTTCAGACCAACATACAGAAGAATAACATACCTTGCTACCAATATATTTTGCTCGTCGGAGACACTCACGATAAAGCTAAGAGACAAAGAAACAAATGCGGCATAAATCACTTGAAAGAAAGTTTTGCGGCTGTCATATAATCAAATAGCTGACCAGTAAATGGTACTAACTCGGATAGCATTGTTGGCTAGTTCAGGAGGCAATGCTGTTTGGAGAGACGGCATTGCGCAACTCGCTTCAAACTGTAGCAACGGAAAAGTAGAGACAAAAGAACCTGTTTGGATGAGAGGATTAGGATCTCAATATGAATTCAAATATTGAAATCTTTGTTTGGACACTTTAAACGTTAACCAATTTGCAAAACCTTAAAGTTTATTTTTGTGAAAAGAATATCCTTCAGCATAAAAACAACAGTCCCACAATACGAATGACATTTTAAACATTTCATGATATGAGCATATCAATTTCTCAAATTTCTAAATTATTTTTCCAAAGTAAGCTCCAAATTCATCCACCAAATAATCGGCCCGGAGGGTGGGGGGTGGGGGGGCAGCGAGTGATCATCTTCAAATGGGAGCCAAGTTTAGGTAACTACTACATCACTTTGGACTTTGTGTTTTCTTTTATAATGATAAATATAAGGGTGCAAAAGCAGTAGGAACTATTAGCTATCAACAAAAATCCTATCAACACCCATAAATTCTTCAAAACTACAAAGTAGAGCACTAAACTAATGCTGAATACACAAAAAAGAAAAACCTAATGCTGAATGCAGAATTCAGAAAGTAATGAGTTTCAAGTAAAAAAAGACATTGTGGGTAGATTATTAGATAGATTTTGAAATCCACTAGCCTAAGACATCCATGCAAAGGACCTCATTTCAACAATGTTAATCAATCAATCAACTAAACTTCAATCCTAAATTAATTAAAGCCGGCTATATAAGTCCTCTATATCCACTATTTAGAAGGTTCACCATAGTCAAGACACCTAACATAGCCCTCTATGTTTTATTTGCGTGTTAGACCAGCTATATTTTTTAAAACTTGCATAGGAACAATTGAAAGAGAACCTTGGAGTAATAGTAAAGTTGTTTCCATATGACCTATAGGTCATGGGTTCGAGCAGTGAAAGCAGTCATTAATGCTTGCATTAGGGTAGACTGCCTACATCACAACCCTTGGGGTGCGACCCTTCCCCAGACCCTGCATGAACACGGAATGTCTCGTGCACCGGGCTGCCTTTTATTTTTATTTTTTTTAACATAGGAACGGTTACCTGTTTCAACAGTGAACCAAACCAAATCCAAAGAAAGCCAGAATGACTAAGATTTTAGTAGATACGATAATGGAAGGTGATTGTGAAGAACAATAAACACATTTCTGAGAACCCAATTCTAAGGGAACATACACGCGCCTCCAAAACTGGGTTATGGATTCATTTGATTTTAGCATTGGAAATTAGACAAGTTCTGGCAGATAGTGAGAAGAGAGGAGAGAAAAGAAATAGAAGAAACTTATACTGGCTTTGTTGGAAGAGAAACAACAACGACTACTAGTCAGTGGAGTTGCCGGATTAGAGAAGCGACAACTGGCAAGGAGCAACTCTCGATAATCTCAATTCTTACAGTGAAGAGTCCGAAGACTTTGGTTGGGATATTCATAGTTTGGGAGAGAATATAAGCAATCACACTGATCAAAATAGTCATTATCTATAGGGGGCTGGACTATTTTTGTAATTAATGTATACTCCTTAACAGGAATAGTCCTTTATATATGCAAAAAGGTAACTTTAGTCTACGACCTTAATCCGACAGTTTCTTCCAGAAAATCAGTTAAGTTTAAATGAGATATTCCATGAATGATTACTGGAGTTTGAAAATTTATAAGTTCAAAACCCATGATTTGTTACTGGACAAAAAGAAACATGCACACACAGACACAAGTAGTTGAAGAAGACAACAAAATTGATCTGCCAAAACCAAACCTTAAATCAGAAACACTAGCCGAAACTTGTTCAGCGCCGAGCTCCGGTTTCTGCATCAACGGGGAGTGAAATGGAGCGGACAGCTTAATTTGAAGTTTAGGGTTCAGGTCTTTCAAGGACGGACTAATAGCAGTCAAGCTTCTAAATTAAGATTATTTTGGGAAGTGATTTTTTCTAAAATTACTTTTCTTAAAATTATTTTTGTACTAGTGAACTTGTCTAGCTTTGCGCGAATATAAAAGACCTTATTATTATAAAATAATATTTTCTAATATTCAAATACTTAAAATAACAAAAATATATTATATACACCTAATTTTTTAATTTCCTATTCTTTTACATCATGTCTGATTCCACAAAGCAAAAGCGAAAGATGAAGGAGAGAATTTCAATTATTTGTTTTTTTAACATAATATATTCATAATTTACTACTATGTTAGTTGTTTAGCATGAGCGTAATGAAATAAAATAGATACATTTTCAGCTTTATCTAATTTTGATGTAATGATAGAAATTGAAGTGAGTTCTTCTTTTTCTTCCTTCAGTTTTCTTTATTCTTTGTCTCCATTATTCTCACTTCTTCATACCCTTACTTATTCGAAGGTATTGCTCTAAACATAGGTGATATCCTGTTTCTCCAAAAATTTGATTAAACATTCTAAAAAAACTACTCCATCTTAGAAATTTCATGTTTACCAACTACAACTTTTACCACTGTCTTCGATATAACTCTGACAGATTTTTTCTTGCATGTGTGTGTGTG